GAAGCACCCTCCCACTGGCATGGCAGACAATGACCACGAAGGCCACAGTGGAAAGGTCCTCGCGCAGATCAATACCTACTGGAAGCTGTCCATCGCAGCACGCCCCAATGTTGTTCTTGTACATGCCGGCACGAACAATATGGACCTAGAGGTTGACCTTGAGGGCTCTCCTAATATGCTGGCGTCCATAATTGATGGGCTTTTTCAGAATGCTCCAGATACCACTGTTCTTGTCGCTCCTGTCATATGGGCAAACAACCCCAGAATGCAGAAGAACACTGATCGTTTCAACCCACACGTCATTTCTATCATCGAGGAGAGACAAAAGGCTGGAAAGCATATCCTCGAAGTCCCAATAGACATCAATGCAGGTGATCTTTCGGACGAGAAGCACCCAAACGATAGTGGCTATGAGAAGATGGCCGACGCTTGGTTGAAGGCAATCCTCGAGGCTGACAAAAGAGGTTGGCTGAAAGCCCCAACAAAGATAGACGCTGCTGGTCTTCCTGGTGTTGGTCTCGGTGTCGGAGGAGGAGCAGGAGGCGCTCAAGAAGAAATCGTTGGTAAGATCTGGAAGAAACAAGGAACTGTCTTTGAAGGCTTCCGGACATGGGAGTCTGTCGGAACCATCAGAGGTTCTGCTGAGAATTCCTCACGCGAAAAGGTCATTCTGGCTGATCTGAACGGCGATGGTATCGCTGATTACGTCCTTGCCGACAAGGATGGTAAGATGCGAGCCTGGATCAACGGAGGCAAGCCCAATGACTGGAAGAGTATCGGGTATGTCAACCCAGACTGGAAGTCCATCAAGGGCGACATGATCCGTCTCGCCGATGTGGATAACGATGGCAAGGCAGACCTTATCGCTCTATACGAAGATGGCGCTGCAAAGGTCTGGAAGAACGTGGACAACGGAAAAAAGTTCGAGTCCCTCGATTCCAGATGGGCAACCGGTCTTGCGTCTCGAGACAATGTTCGTTTTGAGGACATTGATGGCGATGGATATGCCGACTATGTTATCGTGTATGGGGGCGGCGCTGTCAAGTGGGCTCGTAACACACACAACAATGGCAAGGATAGCAGCAAGAAGAACTGGGAGACTGAAACCACTATCGCCCCAGGACCAGCTGGTATACCACAAGACTCTACCAGTATCCGAGATATCGATGGCGATAGAAAGGCTGGTGAGTTTTGAGTATTCTGATACGTGTGCTGATATACTAACACGGCGTAGATTATCTTGTCATATATCAGGGTGGCGCTGTGAAAGCGTTCCGCAACACCCTGAAAGAAGGCGGTCGTAACTGGGACGACTTGGGCACCATCGCCCCTGGCATAGAGGGTGTCACAGGCGAAATGATTCGCTTTGCTGACATGGACGGCGATGGCTTGGCTGACTTCCTTGCTGTTGCCGACGATGGAAGCATCCGCATGTGGAAGAACCTTGGTATCACTGGACCTAAGGGTCAGAGCATCCGCTTCGCTGACTTGACAGGCGAGGGAGGAGATGACCTAATCTCTGTCGACTCCAGAGGGCGAGCTAGGGCTTGGATCAACAAGGGCGACAACAAGTGGGAAGCAATCGGCGAGATCGCGCCGGGCTTCGACGAGGATCTCTCCGACTCGCGCATTGAGTTCATCGATGTCAACGGTGATAAGCGCGCTGATTACTTGATCATATACGGTGGAGGAGCTGTCAAGGCATATCTCAACAACGGCAACCTGCCTGACCCTGGGGATAGACGCATCTGGCAAGATGGTATTACTATTTCTCCAGGTGTAGGTGAGCCAGGGAGCAAGGTCCAGTTTGCAGACCTTGATGGCGACGGGTACGCAGACTTCCTCATCCTCTACGAAGGCGGAGCAGTCAAGTACTGGCAGAACAACAAGAACATACCACCCAGGAACGGTGGCCGCATCTGGAAAGAGGGCATCGTTGTGGCCACTGGTGTTGGCGAGCCTGGAAGCAAGGTCCGGTTTGCGGATCTCACGGGAGACGGCAAGGCAGACTACATCGTTCAGTACGATGGCGGAGCTGCTCGAGGGTATCGCAACAATGGCAAGATTCCGATTGGTGAGGGACGCAAGTGGAATGACATGGGGACTATTGCAGCGGGTGTTAGTCCCCAGGGTCCTGTCCATTACGCGGACATCAACGGGGATAGGAAGGCTGATTACCTTGTTGTTTTTGATAGGGGCGCGGTTAATGCGTATCTCAATAATCACGATTGGGCGCCGAAGCTGCCGAATAATCCTGGTCAACCTACTCCTGTTGAGCCCGGTACTGGTGGAGGTGGAGGTGATGGCAGCGGTGACGGAGGTAATGATAATGGCGGCAACGATGGAGGCAACGGGGGAGGTGACGGCGGCGATGGTGACGGTGACGGTGATGGAGACGGAGATGGGGGCAACAACGGAGGCAACGATGGTGACAAAGACGTTGTCTACATTGATCCCAAGATCTGGGACTCCAAGAACCCTACAGCAGGTTGTCAACCACCTTGTACCCTCATCCTTCCACCGTGGCCACTCTCCTCCAAGACGACGATCAGCTTCCCCGTCATCACTGAGACGTTCAAAGAGACATGGCCGGAGACCACCAGCGGCGTTACCAAGTACGGCACAACAACTATCACCGTCAGGATCACACTGCCGCCTCTTACAACCTCGGAGATTGGCGTGTCCAACGTGATACTGACAGAGTCCACTTCCAAATCTGTGCCTGTACGCGGCAGTGTTATTCCACCCCCAGTCACATTAACCGAACCAACCCACGGCATCACCTACACGTATAAGCCTGGGCCTCTTCCCACTGATGATGTGGATATTGGACCTCCACCAGGCATCGCTCCTGGTGTCATCATCACAGCTGGACCTCCCGGGCCTATCTGCAAGTCTGGCTGCGGTAAACCATGTTTGTTCGGTTGTACCCCAGGCGGAGGAGGCGGAGGAAGTGGTGGTGGCTCGATTGGGTGCATCGGTGGAGGATGTCCTGGGCCAGGAGGAAACTGTGTTGGACCTGGATGTGAGAAGAACAAGGATGATGACAACGACGACGACGACGACGATGATGATGATGATGACGATGACGATGATGATTGCGCTACAGAGACAAACACCGAGTGTCATCAAGTCTGCACGACAAAACCCTGTGCCACTGTTTGCAACACATATCTCGGCTGCGACTGCACAACCTCCCAAGTAACCGACTACTGGGTATCCTGCGAATCTTCCTCATGCACCACAACTTCTACCGAAGTCATCACCGGTTGTTTCCTCACAGCGACAGCAACAACCACCGCTGCCTCTTGTCCCCTCACCACTCTCGAGTATAATGATGACCTCGGCGATGACTACAACAGCATCGGAAACTGGGGCTCGACTTACAAAACAACCTTCTCAGCAAGTGTGATTGTCAGTTCGACGCCGTACCCCGTTAACGATGGATATGCCACCGTTGACAGAACTGCATACCCAATTCCTGATGTCAAGTCAGCCACCAAGACCAGGATGCTGGGGACTTCAGCTATTGTCGTGCCTTCTCATGTCGGCAATACTATTTCCGTCACTATCAAAGGCGTTTCCTTTGTCACCACGTGGTATCCGAGTGCTACGACGACGGTCGGGGAGTCAAAGTCAACATCCACCGAGCCATCGGAAACGACATCATTCCCAACCGAAACGGCCATCACTGAAGCTGAAGCGTACTGCTTCGAGGGTAACCCAGACTATGTGGAGTTCACCGAAGACGAAGCGCGGCAGGTTATAGGATCATTCTGCGACTCCAGCTACACGCTCGACCCAGACAACACATTCGGTCAAAATGTGGCTCTAGAAGAAGACGGCTACACAGTTATCGTGTCGGCCAAATGGGCGCCGGATCAGAGCGGCTGCGGAGACAAAGAGCCGTTCTCCTTCTCCGGAGATGATTGGAACCATGATCTTTGTTCGATGGGCTGGACTGCTGCTTGGTCGTGCCCAAACGATGAGGATGACCGGAAAAGCAGCTACGGAGGTGCGTATGTTCTTGATCCTCCAAAGAATGGTGGCTGTCTTCTCTTGAGCTTGTACGCATATGATACGTCGACCATGCGGCTCAAGGCTCTACCGAAGGGGTCTGAGTCACTGATACCGCCGGTAATGAATGTGACGCACATGGGAGAGAAGAAGGAGTGGATTGCGAATGACAAGTATGATGGTCGCAGAATGTGGCCAGTAGCGGAGGGCACGACACAAGTGGGCAAGCCCTTGGCTACCGGTGAGGTCAAAAACTAAAAATCTGCCATGATAATATCGCCTAGAATCATTATTTCCTTTAGTACTTAGTCCATAGGTTCATTTGTACGCAATGTATTTATTTCTCCTGTAAGCTTCATGCGACTACATGACTTCTCAATCAGCCCTAGCATTCTTCCGCTCCCTATTCCTTGTTCAAGGTAAGTTGCTGTCCCACTCTATTTCAAGGTGCTCACGAGACTAGTGTGAGAGACGAGCGTCCTTCACCAGTTCGAGATAAGGATGAGTCTCTCATCACACGCCTGGCTCTCCTTTCCCTTATGCGGCGGCTGATACACACCCAGCAGCAACCGACAATCATTAGAAACACGATGATAGGGAGTCCAATCATTAGAAACCACACTGCTGAGGTGCTGATATACCCTTGGCTCTGATCATACCTTTCAGTTGGGCGGCTGTCGTCTGGAAGTGTCTCGCCTGGTTTCCAATGCGATACCCTCTGACCATCAGTCAAGGTAAGTGGCATCGGTGTCATATCAGACCTCTCAGACGAGACCCAGGATATTGCCCAGGCTTGGTGAACCATGAAAGTGCCGTCCAACGCGCTAGCATCTTGGTAATCGGATAAACCCGACACTGTTGTGGTCGTTGTGTCATCGCCTTGGGTCATGCTTGCTGTCGTCTGGACCCATCGTCCACACCCGCTACTAAAGAAGTCTTTGGCGATGTAACCACCTCGATCAAAAGGATCGAAGGTGAATCCACTAAATGGCTCTGTTAGTCTCTTTGCTCTCGGAGGTGTAGGATGCTCGGGGATGGAACCTTTCGCAGCAGTATGCTGTCGAGACTTCTGGAGAGTTATCGGAACGAGACATTTCCCAATAATCCCAGCCAGAAGGACAAACAGCTGGGCTAAAGGTGAATAGAGAGTCAGCCTCGCCGCTCCCCCAGCCAGAGGGGTAGCATGAAGTTGGAGGTGCCGATATTAGGACAGGATACGTAAAGGTGCCATCCTGAGTCCAGAGCAGGCTCGTCTGCTCCCAATTGGGTATACAGTTACTTGGTGGAATGTATGGTGTAGTGAGTGCGGCGCGATCTTGTGCAGAGGTTGCCGTAGGTGGCATTCGTGTAACATTCGAAGACATGGCTGATGCTAGATCTTCGGATGTGTAAGCGCTCATGGCCGACCCTTTCAATTGAGCAGTATGGACGGTGGCTAGGAAATGAATCCGATGAGGGGTATAAATGTTTCGTTGCTTTCATTCATGAGACTGGTCTTGCTGTTGGTTCGACTTTACACATCCTTGCGTAGACAGGCCATGTATTTAGCCGGCTAGCCCAATAAAGTATCCTACTCGGTCCCTTTGCTTGATTATACACAGGGGGCATAATGCGGCTGTGCTGCGTTACGTACGTAATATCCTGTTTTATCCATCTGTTTCAGAAGTGCTGGCCGAGTCTTATCAAGCATTTGTGCTGGTTTCGATTTATAGTGGTCTTGGTAGAAGGGTGATGAGGCGATCCCTGTCGCGATTGAGATATGGTAACCTTTTAGTGGGTGCTAGAGAAGAGACATCCGAATTTTAAGCTTAAAAGGTACGTGAATGGGGAGGTCTCTTGGCATAAAATGCGAGTATTAACACTTTAAAGGAGGTAAATCGAATAGTGTAGACAAATTGAGGGACCAGTAATAAAAAGCAAAGAGATGCAGTATCACTCATTGGTGATCAAATTGTTATGATGCCGTTGTTCTTTTGTCCTACATGCTACTTTAGCTGACCCACCGCTAGACACGGAGAAAAGGTTAGAGAATAGCTGGAGCACTGCCAGGTCCAATTCCCTTAATTTATTTTTCCATATCGACATTATTCCATTTGTTAAAGTGATTGGCGAATGCTTATACGAACCTCCACTGTCTTCCATGTTAAGCCACGACGAAGTGGCACATGAGCGGGATCTCCACTGTTGCCCGAAACTCTGGGCATTTATCCTTCCATCAACCAACTTCGATTATCGCTTACCAAGTTCAAGTCATGACACGAATATTCGCCAATCCATCACAGCCTCAGTCTCTCAAGAGCGAAACCTACCTGATCTCATGCACCGAGTCAGGCAATGCAATCGCTACGATGCCATGATCTACAGGGATCTCCCCACCAGGCTAAGATCAATCGGGATTCCATCTGCAAGTGACCCTTGCTTAATTTCCTGCGATGGCCACAAGGCTGAATTTTCCCCCTTCTTCATCGCGATGCGCAATTGACAAAGTCCTGTCGCGCTGCCATGTTCAATCGAAAGCCTCGCGGCGTCACCGATGAGGAGCGGCTCAGCAGTTACGAGCTAGACTGGCCAACCTCGCAGCGATGGAAGCCAAACTACTCTGTCCCGCGTAACTCGCTTGAGTATGATCTCAATGCGTCACGCGACTCATCCGACCCAAGCCAAGGGTCTGAGAAACGACCCAATGTGCCGCATCCACTGTCTTTTGGGAGTCGGCGCGACATGGATACCTCTGCAAAGGCCATTCGACAAGGTGTTCTGGAGCTGGGGGCAGACGAGGAGGAGTTCTCTAATTTGAAGCTTTGGATAGAGACAATGTCCGAGTTGTACATGAACGATCTCGATAATCGGGCTCGGTGGGATCCACGCTGGCTCAATGTTACTCGCAGAGAGCGCTTCGAAGGGCTGGAGTCTGTCGCCATTTCAATTGTTGACTACTTCGCCAATGAGACCGTGGAGAAGAGCGACCTCGTCACGACAAAGAAGGATCTCGCAGTGGCTCTCGACTCAAGACCGGAGAGCTCCCAGGTGCGAGTCATCATGGTCAGCGACTTGAGTCGCTTCGTCATGGGTGTGCTGGGTCAATTGTACTCAGTAGATCCCGAATTCTGGTACGAACATCTCATCGCCTCAGGGTACTGCGCAAGCGACAGTGGTCTCAAACTGAAGAATGCAACATGGATGAACTGGGCTGAACAAGAAACGCGTTTTCGTCATCGTCCTCTCCCGGGAATCGGTCAGCGAACGGAATGGAATTTGTCAAGGAGAACCAAGGCTCGTAAATGGGCACATCTTCGTTGGGGTCGACTTGGTCTCCTTCATTACCTGGGGCGCAAGGGCTTTTACGAGGACGAGATTGCGAAGCGCATCTCTGATGGACGTTGGACGATTGAACGAGATGTTGTTCTTGACAAGTATGGGCTACTTCTGACTGACAAGAGAAAGAAACGTGCAGAAAAGAAGATGAAGGAGAAGAGAGAGAAAGAGGAGAAGGCAAAGAAGAAAAGCCTGGGTGCTATTGATGTTCCGAAAACATCTAGTGGCCACGAGATTGAAGGCACATCGACAAGGGCCAAAACCTCGAATGTGTACCGTCCCTACAGCACGTTCCATCCTGTACTACCGCAGAACCCAACGTACTGGAGCAATAGAGATCTCAGAGTCATGGCTCCAGAAGGCCTGGGCTATTGGTCGAGTGTTGACAAGAAGGGTCGAAAGACAAGTGAGTATGTCCAGGCAGACTGGCAACGTTGACTGACACGCGCAGTCATTCTGGTCTTTGACCCACCACGAACTATGCAACACGACAAGACCAAGGAGACAACACCGTCCCTAACATTTATGCCTCGAGCCATGGAGTTTGAGTCGTACACGGATGAGGAGCTTTGGCGTGTCGCTGACCCCGATGAGACGTACCTGGATCCGCCTGCGCCACCCTTTACAAAGAAGCAATTGAAGAAGGACAAGAAGGAAGCCAGGAGAAGGCGAGCACAGGCTAGAAGGAATCCGTCAATTGCTGTTATTGAGAAAAGCAACGACACCGCTTCAGAATACTCCAGCGACTCCGAATTCGACGAAGACTATCGAGAGTCACTCCGAAAGGCCTATAAACATCGCCAACAGTTACTCCGCGATCGCGACTTTGCGCGCAAGTACTCACTATCCACTTTTGATCTTGTGTACCGATACATAAGCAAGATACTCACCAGCACGCTCAATCAGGACCACTCCGTCATACCATCTATCCTCACGCGACTCCCATTCGACGATATGTGGCAGCTCCTAGCCGAACTCCGTCTGATGCAGGATCATGTTGATGCTGATCTTGGGGCAGACCTGCATATTCACTTGCTTGAAGCTGCTGGTACAATGACAAGACAGAATGTAGCGTGGATACGGTCGACTTTGCAGGAACTGAGTGAGTGGATCGGCCATATCGAAAAGTCCAAGGGTATTCTCAATCTACCTGAAGAGCTGGAGGAGGAGATGGCCGAGCTCACAGCTGATCTCCAATCCCTGCAATCACGCTCAGAGCAAACGCTCAATCTCCTGGTCGCTTCAACAGGCATCGCCCAATCATCTCTCGTCATCGATCAAACGTCTGGCATCAACAAACTCACCGAACTCGCATTCTTCTTCATACCCCTCTCATTCATCACATCCATCTTCTCCATGCAGGTCGCAGAACTCACCGAATCACCACCCAAGATGTGGACATGGGGTCTCTCCCTCGGCTTAGTCTTTCTCATAACCTACCTCATCCGCAGTTTTGTCCGCTCCCCGTCCGTCAGACTCTCCGCCATGCGCGTCCGTGTAACGATGCTTAACCGCTTCACGCCCAAGTCGCGGTCTGCATCGCACCGTCTCAATTCCGTCGGTAACCGTGCTATCGCGGGGTATATCTTCTTCTTCCTGATCCGGTGCTTCTTCGTCCTCGTAATTTTGACTGTTCTTTTACTTTTCATCTTCGTTGTGCATTTTGGCATCTGGGCTGGGGCGGTTGGGACGGCGATATATTTTATCGTCACGCGGTGGCCCGAGCCGGCAGTGCTAGCACCGTGCTTCGCCGCGATTGTCCTGGCGGGTATGGGCTTTTACGTTACGTGCTGTTTGACTGAGGATATAGAGGCGTTTTGGGAGAAGTGGAGCATTGAGGCGGCGGAGATGCTTATGAATATGTTGCCTGAGAAGTGGAGGTTTGATCGGGTTGATGATGAGGATTTGGCGGATGAGGGGGTGAATACTTATGCACGGCAGGCAATCTTTTTTGCGTCGACGTAAGATGGTGGGCTTGTATGAGTGCTTGTGTTACCTGAGGTGCTGCTGGTTTTCAGTGATCTTGGTCAAGTCTCTGCGTTTGCTACTTGTGTCTGTACATTGATCTGAGTGGCTGCCAGCACCAAGCGGCTGCTGCAAACAACCACATGTGCCGTTTGGCGTAGTCTTACGCAACGCACAATTTATATGGCGCATAATGAGATTCATAACGACCCTAGACATGTCAAAGACTCGTTATCCTGAATGCTTTTTGGATAGAAGCTTATATTGTGTCATCGTTATGTGTTCAAACCGAAAAGTTTAACCTTATGGCTAGCAAGCAGCTCCAAAGTCAATAAGTCAGTGAGACTTGCAAACGAAGCCACAAGGTTTTATGAATATTTACGGCAATAGTCGTAGTGACAAACTGAACAGTGACGGGCAGTGGCATCCTTCCTATCGTTTGGCCGCATCTACTTCCTACGCCTTCCGTGCTTTGCTGCGGGTAGTCGCTTCTCTGAATAATCATTCTTCTCATACCCTTCACGCGATTTTGTGGTTTGCTGCAAACCTCTTTCTCCTCTTCATCTCACAACAAACAAACATCTCATCACTAACTCATTCATCTTCTCAACATGGCTCAGAACGATATTCCTACGTCCAACATTGATCCCGAGGTTGGCTTCACGCCTCAGACTCATATCAGTGATAATTCTAAAGAAATGGATACTGAAGAGCTATACGCCGTGGATGATCTCTGCGCTTCCTCGATACGCGCTTCTCATTACAAGCTTCTCTTTGATGGCGCCTACTCCGATATATCGATCGTCTGTCGTGGCCGAGAGTTCAAGGTTCATCGTACTATTGTGTGCACGCAGTGCGAATGGTTTGAGGAGGCTTTCACAACCCCGCCTAAGGTATGTGGTTTCTCGTGCCATCGCAACTCTCACTGACTTTTCGCAGAAGCGCACCATTAGGAGCGTGACTCTAGATGAAGACCCTGAAGTCTTTCAGCATTTACTCGAGTTTCTCTACACTGGGACATATACTGCTCAACAGCCTTCGGCACTGGTTGATGCTGAGCGAGCAAAGGAGATTCAAGACCGACTTACCGCTTATCCACGTTGCCCTATCGAAAAAGACACTGTAAAGGACAGTGTGCCAGAGCGCCCTGTGAGACGATCAAATAGGTTATTGTCAACTACACCCGCCACGGCACCCACAGCCAACTCACCCTCAAGCACACCGCACAAGATAATCCTCGCCATGCATCTCTTCATCATGGCTCAGACATACAACATCCCCGCTCTCCAGCTCCTCTGCCAGGACCGCTTCTACACGGCTGCCAAGAACCGGTGGGTCAACAGGACATGGACCGACTGGGAGGCTACCAAGGAGTTCGAGGACGTAGTGCTGGATGTGTATGGGTCTACGCAAGAGGTTAATACTCCGTTGTGGAGGGCGCTGTGCAAGTTAATTTGGTTGAAGAAGGATGGGGATCGGATGAAGGAGAGGATGATGGCTGTTAAGGGGGAGCAGGTGTTTCTTGCTGAGGGTGTTGTGAAGTACATGCTTGAGCCTAGGCCCTAGAGGCAGTTCTAGGCAGGAGCTGCCCTTGGCTGAAGTGAGAGGCAGGATACGGGAGCTCAGTCTTGAAAAGGTAGTCAATGAAGCTCACTCGTCTTGAACTAAAACTTTTTATGGACTTCTGCTGCTCTAATGAGTAGCTCACATACTCCTTGCATACTTCAGCCTTGAAAGCGAACCCATCAGTGTAACTCATCGCTACGGGATTTTCTTTATATCCAGAAAGCTACTAAGTTCACTTACAGACATGAGACTCGTTCCTCTATACGAATGGCTTTCTGAGAATCAAATATGTAAAACCACCCATACTGGCTACATAATAGCGCCGAATGATAGATAGGTCGAAGGAGGACCAGTCACGGAGCCTAAACACCGATGGGTTGTGCGCAGCCTCAACGGTATGACAAACCCCGCTTCCTGCATTTGCCTCCCCAAGGCAGAAACTCAGTGCACAGAGCAAGCCTAGGTTTTAAAAAGCAACAAAGTCCAGTTCCCAAGAACCTGTTCTCTTATCCATGTTCCCATCTCTCTCTTCCCCGATCTTGAACCTAATACTTTCGTTCACACCGGAAAACTTCGGCTTTACATTCATCCGTGCCTCTTGAGAAAAAGGAGAAACATGGCCACCTCACGATTCGAGACAGAGAGTTTTACTGCAGATCACCTCGTGGAGAGCGCAGGAACTGTATTATTCCGCCTCTCAACGCGTGAGATCTGCATTATACGCCATCTGCAGCGTAATGAGTATCTTCTACCCAAGGGTCGTCGCAACCTACACGAGTCGAGGCAAGCCACAGCGATTCGCGAGACCACGGAAGAAACTGGTATTCCGTGTCGCTTGATGCCCCTCAATATGCTTTCACGGGTGTGTCCCCCTGATGCAGGAAGCGAGGATGTGCCCGATGAGGCACGCTTCTTCAAGGGCGCGTGTGAGCCCATTCTTGTACAAGCCCGACGACGGGTTGGGCACGGGGAGATGAAGCTCATTTGGTGGTTTGTGGCTGCTGTTGATGAAGAGAGGCCCGCTGGGCCGCATGAGGACAAGTTTGGCGTGGAGTTTCTTAGTTACGATGCAGCAGTGAAGACGCTGACGTTTAAGGATGACCGTGACCTGGCCGTGAGGGCGATTGACCTGGTGGAGTCGACTTTGGCTTCTTGTACCAGTCTTTGAGGGACAATCTATCTTTTGCCAAGTCCGATCGTTTCTCTCGAGGATATATCCAGTGGCTCCATCATGAGCTCGGCAGATTTCAGAGTCAGCAACAACCCGTGGCTGGAGAGCCAATGGCGCAAATACATGGAAAAATAGAAAAGTCATTCTTACTCTTTGGAGGAACTACTAGTACTAGCAGTCTTTTTAGTGACTTGTGCACGGATTTGGAAAACCCATAATCCCTCACACCTGAGGCTTGTTAACAGTTTGAGCGTATGAGTACTATTTACTCCGTCCAGGAAAGATCTTCTCCATTCACATCCAACTCAACGAATTCCAAAGTTTTCAATCAACCTGCACGACTTGACAACTCTCGAGGCTTTTTGCAAACATCCCCCTCTTGCACAGGACGAGATGCTAGGAGCAAAGCTAGCTTCTGCTTATTACCCCCGAACCGCAAGCTCACACATGTCTGTTTCGGGTATCTTCCCATATCCTTTCTTTTCAGGCAAGACGGAATCCGAGATACGTTTGTCTTGAATACTTGGAGGGCGCCAGAGCTTGGATGCGTACGAAACATTGTTACACGTTGAGTTGGTAAAAGCCGAAGACATGCTACGAGCCTACCGCAGGTCTATCCAACAAAGACTTATGGCGGAGGAAATATTGCCTCCGAACATTCACCGCTTCTTTCACACCAGGCTGTTGAGCAACTCAAAATTTCGAGAGTTTTACGGGAATGAAATTCAACTTGGAGGTAGACTGATACCTACTGACGGTTTTCTAGCTATGCCATGGATCATAGATGGAAACCGACAGCCTCCATTGCGCAAACTATTCGATTTAGCTCTGCATACTCTTTCACCGACCAACCTCCAGTGGTCATCTTGTCCTTTGGCCTTTGGTTTAGGTGATCTTCATCGTGGCAATGTCATGGTATCACCTGCGGCTCAACACCGACATGGACGCACTTCCTTTATGTTGATTATGAGGTTTCAGGATACCATCCAATCATGCTAGACCTTGCCAAACCGTTTTTGAACGACGTCTTTTTCGAAACATTTTACTGCGATTTATTTCCAGCGCTAGTTTCTAGAGACTTGAAGTTTAGATTTAGTGAAGGTTTTTTGATAGTTGACTATGCTCCGCAGGTCGACATGGCGTCACAGGGCATTCTCGACATCAAGATGCGATATTTGCTAAAGCCTCTTTGCGAGGAGCTACAGAAACTGGGCAACAGCTTGGACGTCTATGTCCACATCCTGGCCAACACGCTGCTCCTCTGTGCAACCTTGACAAGAGACTTCAGCAAAGACGAAGACGCTCTGCTGCGTAATTTTGCAACAGGCATTGTCTTATTTAGGAGTAGGAACTGGGACGAGTTTGCTAAATCGCTTTAACCTTTGGGCTTTTCAGTTGCGAGCCTAAACTGAGCTTGGAGGTGATTTGAAGATGATGATCAAATGTCGAAAGTCAACCTAACTTGATGAGTTGGCAAAGAGGCATCGCAGCTGATACGTCTAGGGAAATAACGTTGAGAGGCAATATGATAATAAGTCAAAAAGCTTAATTCACAGCTAATAATTCCATCTTCAAGCCACAACATCTCATTTAAACCTCTCATCTGTACCTCACCCACCCTACACCAACCCAAATACCTCACTCACTCGATCCGTCTTGTCCGACAAACAATCCAGACCCTCACCACATTCCCTCCCACTCCGTGGCGAAAAGCTCCAGTTCATCATTCTCATATCTACCGCTACCAAACACTCTTTATGCATACCAACCACTGCCGATGGCGCCGCGTAGATCCCGACGGCGTAGCCCATCGCCGAGACTGGCAGCCAGAAAAAACTCTCCGGGCCTAGAAGCATCCAATGCAGGTACAGCTGATCCCTGCCTAGCGCGGACATACCCTCCCCCCGACGTCAGCCAAGAAAGGAATCTTGGCAGACGTTGGGGTGCGTAACGCAGATTTCTTGGCCGTGTCACAAATCTCGATTGTCAAAAGCCTCAAAGTCGCACAAGGCATGCAAACATAATTGACGACAAACAATGGTCTAATGTATTTGGTATCTGTCATGAATGGTTCAAAAAAACACACGCTATGAATGAACTCCTTAGCCAAATGATCATGAGCGACCTCTATAGTAATCCCTTTCCATCCCTGAATACCTCATCATACCAGCGCGACTCCGTCTCCGCTTCATTACTGGCTTTACAGATCGTATCCCAATCTGTCGACCTCAATTCCCATGCCTTTGTGTCCTTGTTCTTGCCAAACAGTAGCGACGCGCTACCTTTGGTCTTTGCGCCGTATGACCATACCTCCAGATTGCCATCGTCGGCGGTAATGCTCGCTAATGGTGTTGTAGTGTTTGCTGTCATGTGCGCCTCGACTAGGTTGCGCAGCTGGGGAAAGTACCACGTCTTATCCCACCATGTCGATCGACGGGCCTTTAATCCATCCCTCCAGGCGTTGTGATGTATCGCGACGGGAACAGATGTCGTCCAAAAGTCCACATACAGCGAAACGTCACCCCAACTGCCATCATGATCATCCAATTGAGAAAATGGAGCTTCGGCCTTGGAAATGTCGCTTGGCACACCACCTACGCGAGGGGGCGACACGCCAGCTTGGCTCGACTCCTTGGCAATCGTAGAGGGATCGTCAAGTGACACGAAAGCACCGCCGTAGTCAGAGTAGCAAGTCGGGTAGAACAGTTCTTGTGTGTAATCCAAGCCGACGTGATACTCAATTTCGGTTCGAGCAGAGAGCGCAGCCTCTTTCCCGGGGTTGTCGCCAGCAAAGTCGTCCTGCTTGATCTGTCGGCGCCAAAGTTCCTGCTCGCCAAAAACCTCGGCAAAAATACCCTGGTCGCCTGCGAGGTCCTCGGCAGACCTGACCTCAAGGAGATCTTGGTCCATGCGATCTTTGACACGTTGGAAGTATCGTCGCATGTCGCCCGCGGGACCCATGAAACTGCCACTGTTGACATATTTCGGGCGCATGTACTTGTATCGCGATACAGTATAGTCGGTGAAGAAGCCGAACACGTTCTCGGGGAGGGTGCTGTCGGGCACGTCGCTGCAGTAGAGGTTCGAAATCTTGTCGCGTGGGGCGATGCAGCCTTTTTGCGCGGCGGCAATGATGGTCTGCTGCATCAATTCCTTGTCAAAGAAGCCATATTCCTCTGCAATTCGTCGGTTCGCTCGCTCGTTGCTGCTGTAGTATCGGTGCATCATGACGCTCGGGGGTAGTTGTAGCCAAATGTCGTGTGCGTCCAGCATGAGCACGAGATCATCCTCTCCCAGCTTCTCCTCCTCCGAAACTTCGTCGCCTGTAGCCCATTGCAGGTAGTTCAATGTACCCGTGATTTTTCCCAGCTGCGAAGGTCCAATACCGTCGGCCTCCGTGTGGAAGTCCTTCTTCCAATTGACGATTACAGGCGCGGGATACCCCAACGCTACGGCGCTGCTGACAACCTTGCAGAGATCGGGACTCGAATCGTCGACAGGTAAAACGATGACGAACTTTCTTTCCCCGGAGGAGATGTTGGCTGGTGTGACTGAAGTTTCTTGTAATATGGGACCCGTTGGTCTCCAGATACTATCATTATGGATCTGATGGTCAGTTTGAGCTTCAGTAGAGGAGAAAGTACATACTAAGTAGTAGATTGTAAATGTGAAAGCAAACAAGGCGAATAGTAAAGTCGAACCCTTCTTGACCCATCTCCAATTTGAACCATTGACACGAAATCTAGGGCGAGGACGCGCGGCGCCAGGGAGAGCAATGTGAGAAGGCATATGTCATGAGCAGGAAGGAAATGTATGTATAATGAAGAAAGAGAGAGGAATGTAATATCAGGGGACAAGGAGAAACGAGGTTTTCGGATAGAAATGTCAAGCCAGGGTTAAGGGAGAGACAGAAGTGGGCCGTGGTGGAACAATATACAAAAAGAGAACTGACGAAGGAAGGATGGACAGACGATCAAGAAGGATGCCAAGCACAAAAGGAACAGACAGAAAAAGCAGGATATTGAAGGAAGGGTTGAAAGTGGACAAGCGACAAGGCAGACAGAGCACAGCAGAGCGAGCCAAGGAGGGAAGACGAGCACAAGACACTCCGGTCCACGGCAGTCATGACAAGGTTGCTGCAGCTCTCTTCCCACTATAAACCCGGGCAGTGGAGCACCTAATCTTATCGAGTCGCTCGAGTATCTTGTCGGTGAGAGGCTCATATTAAAGGTACATTGCGCCCTGTCGGCCCCCAGGCACTTGTGAACACGGCATGCTCGACGCTAGCACGCTAATTCGAGACAGATCATCTGAGTGGGAGGCGCTGTGATTCGTCAGAGTCAGCTGCTAGGGCTGGTGCCGTAGCCGAAGTTAGCACAGCTCGAATCCTCCAAGGCATTTCCCGCTTCGATGATCTCCGTGAAACAATGGCAGACAATGATGACCCCTCTAGAATTCCTGACATCTTGAGGGACAAGTTCATTGTAAATGTCAGCCAAGATTGCCGTTCCAAGGCCGTAACCTTGTTTAATTTGCAATACCAAGCATTGGCATCGAGATTGCACCAAAACGCAAATCCCCGAGTTAAAAGTGCTAGAGAGAGACTCCACCCGCGGCCCCCAAGTCGACGTACCACGATGAAACATTCCTTCTCAGCACGGCCGCAAAAACTCGTTTAGGAGATATTATGTATTATGTATCAGGGGAACATTACATTTGGTGCTGACGGCGCGCGCAGACTTTTTCTTACTCATGTAATTTATTAGGTACAAAATAATTTAAGACAAAGTAAGCAGCCCCCCCTGAGTCTGGAAGCAAGCCACGTTGAAGACCCCAAAACGCAAAACACTTGACTGGCCAGAAATGAAACAAATCTGAGCCACCGCCAGCGCCATCTCACAAGGTCAATCGCCCTATTGAGCCCTGTACATATTCAACATGAGATGCTTTCCGGTCGCCGACGGACCCTTCGAGGCGCAGTAATTAATTAATTAATGCTTGTTTTCTTTCTTATTTCTTACCGAATGAATGAGAGAGAGTATCAAAGTATGTCGCAGCCCGCGGCGATGCGAGAACCGGTTCCAGAACTGTTTTGGAACTGCGACTGCTACAAGGCGCAGGGTGTCGATCAACTAACAATGACGACAGATCTTCAGCGCCAGGGGAGAAAATTAAAAGGCCACCGCGTAATCACATACACGCGACCACTAACACCGGGCACTTCCTCTTTGGGCGTGCCTCGCTGTTCTGACCGTTGTGTGTTTGGCTGCCGTGTTTGCCGCCCGTGGTTGGTGGGGCTGACTCTCTTTTGGCCCAGAATTTGGGGCTGAGCTGGACCGGAGTCGGGCGAAATGTCATCACAAGCCTCCTGATCTGACACGAAAGGGTTCATAATCCTGCTATTCTTGGCATGTTTCTTGATCTATGCTTGTTATTGAGGACATGGATCGTCATCCTTAAAGCTTCACTCGCAGCCGAGCTGGAGACAAGCCTGGTCTGGTGCTTGTTAGTACACGCTATACGTAAATCCCCAATAAATACGCAAAATCCTGGAATTCTGATTTGTTCAAATACATGCCTGCTTGGAGGATTCACATGCATAGCCTCGCCCGGTAACGGCTGTCATGGCGAGATGGCGGCCTTGCCACGTATATTTGTCAATTTTGGGTAATAGCCGAGCTTTCAGCTTTGCAGCCGAGCAACAAGCAAGAGTAGCCGATGCCCAGCTCACGACATCAGGTATTTCGAGTCTCAACTTCAAGATAAAATTACTCTAAAAAAGATAAGTTCAATAACTGATCACGAACGCATTAGGTTGTTCGGCCGCCTTGAGCAATTGTTTTCAATACCCTTGTTAGTGTCCAAGTCCTCATGCACTGAATTCCAAAGTTGCGCGGATTACCCATCCTGCCATCCGCATAGGGAGCAAGAAGACTTCTGTTGTAAATCAAGATGCCAAAATAAACTGGTCTAAGGACTTCTAACAGGTAGTCTAAAGGCTTGAAAAGATGTACTAAACTCTCCTAAGTTTATTCATCACTGAGAAAAGAGGTTCCAAGTTTTCATCCCCCCTATCTCAGACAAAAAGCGTGTGCAGATGGATAGAATACTCCATGACCCCAACAGCGAAACCCCCATGCTTCATCATAACATTCCTCATCTTCTCCCTGACCCTTGGCACATGGATCACAGCCGCCACAAGCCTGCATACAATCTCCCTCATCGCAGTGTCTGTTGGCGGCGTGGTCTGATACAGCTCATCGACCACATCAGGAAAACACTCGGCCTCTTCCCAAACGAGCTCCACGGCGCGGCAAAACCGATCACGCGCTAGGAGTCGAAGGGCGGGCACGTCGTACTTGTCTGCCAAGACGTATAGTCGGAGAGGCAGTGTCATGTCGTTGCGTAGTTCGGCGAGCTGATTTAGGCCTTCTTGCCGACGACCTTCTGCAACCGCTTCTGCCACCTTTGTGAGCTCGGATTCTTCATCTCCCGCTGCGTCGGCGATCCAATCTTGACTTCCCTCTTGACTTCCCTCATCCTCGGTCGCCGACATATCCTCTTCTTGGGATCCGCACGCCGGCTGCTGCAAGTTCTGAATCACAGCCTTGGGATCAAGCAACGCCGCTTTAGATGGCTTTACCCAGGTCAAGTTCACACCGTCTGTGTAGGTGCCAGTGTACAAGAACTCAAGAAACCTCTCCACAACATCAGGATCGTCTTCCGGCAGCTCAATAGATCGTGACTTAGATTCCTAAAAGAAATTCATAAGTCTGACCGTTCGTAAGTCATTATCGGATTCTTGAAAACATACCATGAAGTTGCCGCTCATTGCTTTATCAAAGAAAGGTGACTGCGTACATACAACAGCGCGATGGGTTTTGAATTGACGATCTCCGCAGATAATGGTCATGTCTGAGAACTTATCGCTTTGGAAAAGAGTCGATAACGCCGCATGAATAGATATAACTTTCGACCCGTCGATAGAGTTATGCTTGTCGTCTCTGTGTTCGGATCCCGTTGAAGATGGTGCACGTCTGCATTCTGGTGCTGGCGTGGACGATTTTGCCGGGCTTGTCGGGAGCTCATCGAGAAGCAAGGCTTGAAGTGCAGCAGTACGACGAAATGATCCCGGTATCTTGCAGTCTTTTCAACGAGAGGCCCTTGACGAAGGAGGTTGAGTCTGAGGCAGAAGGGATACGGAGGTAAGCTGCGCGATGCGAAAACAGAAATCTCAAAAACACACTCCAGGCAGAGGAAACATGAGTACCTATGGTTGCTGCACGAAGTTCAGCTCCTAAGTACGGGGCGCGACTGATCTATGCAGGGCCAGGTTGAAGTTATGAAACATTTATGCAGCATACGAAATATGCCCTGGTAGTCATGGATGTTATTAGCACTGCAAAAGAGGACGATACTTCCAGCATTTTTACATACAAGGTGCCATATGGCCGCCTGTTTCCTCGGTAACCTCAAAACTTTCTCGCTATGTGACTTGCTATTCGATGTTGTGAAACCTATGACAATTCCATTGGCCTTATTTGACTGAATCAAGTGATGGGTCACAGAAGCTTCGTTATATTCGATCAACCCGTGATGGCGGGTAAATGAGCCATCTTTCAGGTTTCAATTATATCAGCTTTATGCTGTAGCAATTGGTTAGGTATTGTAAAGTTAGTTATATTCGATCATGCTCTAGCCACTCTCCCACTTTTGAATCATGAGGATAGCATCTGCGAACTCATCCGGAGCTTCCATAGGAAAGGCATGTCCAACATCAAATTCTCTCCTCTCATACCGACCAGAAAAGTGCTCAGCATGTGCAGCAGTACCGCCAGGTTTCAAAGGATCCTGCCGCCCATCCAAAGTGATAGTTGGAACACTTATCTTAGGCTGAGTAGCTAGAGCATCCTCCAGCTTTTGCAAAGCTGGATCGCCTTTTGCGTTACCAAAGCAGAATCTATAAGCGTGAATAACAACGTCCACAAAATCAGGATTATCAAAAGATTCTGCAGTTTGGTTGTAAAAGTCTTCCGAGAACTCGAAAGAGGGGGACCATTGCTTCCACAGAATTCGACATAGATCTCGTCGACTCTCTGTAAGACAAGCAATTCCGCGCTCCTGCTGGAATAAATGCTGATACCAACAAACGCATTCCAAGCTCGGTGCAAAAGGCTTTTGATAAGTTGAAAGATCGGCAATGTCGTAACCCGCATATGAAACGATTCCAACGACACGCTCGGGCCATAGTGCAGCTGCAACGCATACGGACATTCCGCCCCAGTCGAAACCACCCAGAATGGCTTTGTCGATGTTCAAAGCATCCATGAGTTCGATGACATCCGAGCCAAGAGCTGCTTGCTGACCGCTCCTCATGGTTGATTTTGAAAGGAAGCGCGTTGGGCCGTAGCCGCGGACATAGGGAACGATGACTCTTGCACCGTGGGAGACGAGTCTTGGAACAACTTCATCATATGCGTGGATGTCGTATGGGAAGCCGTGATATAGAAAGACAGGCCAGCCTGATGAGGGGCCGTGGTCGTAGTATCCGACTTCAAGGGTTTGTGTCTTGATTGATTTGAGTGACATGATTGTCTAAGTGAGTAATTGTTCGAATTGATGATAACATTCAAGCCAAGATGGTATTGGATGTTTTGTTGTTGCTGCACGCCTTGTGGTTGACATGTGTGCCATTCCTGATACAGCAATGTGACGTCAGATCTAGGAGCAATATTATTAATGAGTTGATTGTAAGCATAGTATACTTCGTTCGACCTATCACTCCAGTCTAACGTTATTATCTGAAATTCTGCCGATGCCTCTCTTGTAAGATTTCACTTGAAATACATATGCCTAAGCATTCGTTCATAGGTCCGTATATCCAGACAGATGCTCTCGATGGAGATTTTCCCAGGAGCTCGAGTATTCCACTCCAAGCTCTCGAGATCCTCTGATGTTCAGCAAGCGAGTAGGAGGGCGACGCAATCATCAGATAGCATACTAAATGCCGACACAGTTGCTCAAGGAGATTTAGCAAAGACACGAAAATAAAGTGTTCTTAAAAATTCAGGATAAATCTTGCAATTGAGTAAATTCAAACGCAGTCTCGTAAGCATAAATATGCCGCATGCAGCCGAAAGAAGTCTTTATAAAATGAGATCAACCTGCAAATATGTCGTGACATACACTTCTTCGATAAGATCTCTCTCCTCTGCAAGAAATGCCCAAAAATCTTGATAGACAAACATGTATGGGCTTCAGTCTCCTCCCGTCGTCGATACTGCCCCTGGGTGTTGGAGTGCCCATTATGCAGTAATGTGGTCTTGATGTCCTTTTCTCCTCAGTAACGACATCTTCAATAACAGGCCGAGGGCTGATGAACTGCATGCTTCTAGCTGCCTTGCGGAACAAGATCTGTTTGTATGCCTCCAAGTCTCAAATCTGTAGTCCATCGAAGCTGAAAATTGTGGCCGTGATCTTGCTGAAAATCAGTTTCTTCCGTTTCTCAAGTCGTATTTTTGACCTACTGCTTTGACTGCTTGCGGCTAGCAACTGCAATTCTGATTTTGTGAAAACTGGGTTAAGACTCCGGATGATGTATGGTCTCGTAGTTCTGGAATGTATAGCCACAAGAGCATAAGCTCCACATGGACCTTCGATATGTCTCACTTGGTCCTCGGCCAAGTGTCAAGGACTCAAGATGAAGCAATTCATAGAAAAGATTGCTCAAAGTAGCCCCCCTCGTTCTTCTTGTTGCCAGCTTTCAACATACAAATTTCGGCAGCATCTCGACCGTTTGAGAACAAGTTCCTCTGTAACATCTCATATAGAGACGATGTGTGAGAGAAAAGAGGGCTAACGTAGTAGAAAACAGGTGTCCACCCCATCAGAATCTGCGTTTCTCAAACTCCCAACTCCATTTTGGATCGCGATACGATGCTTTCTTGAACTTCTCCGATGGACAAGTCGGACAAAATAGGTGAGAAACGGATTTATTCGCACCCGACATCCTTCCGCAGGCGCCAAAGGTATCTTTGGCACGGTGACATATGACCTGTTCCATGCGTGAGTCATAGAGCTGTTTGCACCATGTACAGGTGAAGTGTGTCATTGTATTTACACACATGGTTGCTGTGGGAAGTTGGTGTATGAGATTGGAGAATGCTTGCGAAGGAAGTTCGAGACGTGAATATTGGGAGTGCAGTTATATTTATAGAGTGTCTTCTGCGAGGTAATTGTTAGACTCCCTTTTGATTTCTATGTGAATTTATCTGAAAGTTAATATCCTTATTTCCAGTCACGGGCCCCTGTTGGTGAAGTTTGTATGCTGTTGGAACTCAAAACGATCGTTCACGCGCCATTTGGCTTTATACCAGTCTGTCTTAATGAGCTTACCACCAAGTACTAGTAGATTCAAGTACCGAAGAATCATGTGCAAATAATAGACTGCCATCTTTCGAACAGTACTTTCCGTCAAGTAAAACAATTCGCCAAAGAAAAGGAGGAGTGTTTGTCGAGTAAAAGTTAAGCTTGTCGATAGGAAGTTAAATCTCATAACAAAATCTCTTGGCCACTTGTTACATTTAAGTTTAATAGCCTCACCAGTGACTCATTCGCAGGCTTTTCCCTCACCAGAGAACCACTTACAATATGCATCTTTGTGAAGATTCATAGAGGCATAATGGAAGTAAGAGGTCGCTCTTGAGCCTGGGTTCGATTGATACTTAAAGCTTATGACGCCTCAGCGAGGCATATCTAGCCATTGAGCCTGGGTTCAAGAGAGCAAGCAAATAGGATGCAGGATGTTTGAAATTCAGTTGCCTATCTTGGGTTGTTAACTGGTTTTTACACTTTTGTCCATTTAAGATTTTTATGATATACTGATGTTTAATCTTACACCTCTTGGCCATATGTAAAGTCCGTTATTATAGCAGATATGGTCATTAGTAGTGGATCATCGCACGTATCGGCCTTTGTATGTTGAGCAATTTAATTTCTATGGCTCCAATATTCAACTGCTGTCATAAAGCCTCCTCAGGGAGCAAGTGTCCCATTGCCAAAGTCTCTGAATCTTATGATGATGGTTCGAGGAATTTAGATCAATTTTTATGAGTTTAGACTAGCTTATATGAGTTGAGATTAATTCATATGAGTTTAGGCCAGCTCATCATCTCAAATAGAACACATCAGGCTCAGGCTTCGCTGCGAAGAACGCCGAGTAATTGATCTTTCCAACACCGACCCTCTCCGATATCCCATCCCTCGTTTCTCTAAGCAACAGCACATTACAAACATCCAATACACTAGTACTTCCGAATCGACCCAAATCCCATCGCGGATCACCAGTATCATTGACCTTCTCGGTACTTGGCTTCACGCTCTCATCAGGTGCACCAGGCAAGCGCCTTCTCTGCAGCCACTCTTCTTGAAGAATTTCATACTGCATTCTCATCGGATCACCATCCCAGTACATCTCCCATCCAATGGGTGGAGGTGCAACGTATGAGAGACTGTCGCGAGATATGGCCACGAGGATGTACTTCACTGGTGAACTCTGGGCCTCTTCGGTTGTCGAGGGAATATTGAGCTGTTCAAGCGAGACGTTCAAACTCAGACTTCCAGCGCGATAGCCTTGATGGTAGAGGATACGCTGCCACGGTCGACGGTTATTAGCTGACCTATCTTCATCGTTGACTCCCATCTGGATGAAGTTGTCCTCTATAGGCGATGCCAAATACGACTCAGATGGCTTCTCACATAGTCGAACCGAAACCGCTTTTGCACGAAAGTACAGAGTATCTTCAAACGGCAACTCCACGACAGGCTCGGCAGGAAGATTAATCGGAAACTCAAATTTCATGCCCGGATACGCCTCATGAACAAAGAGATGCTCATTTCGGTCCTCGTTGTGCTCAACAGCCCACCCATGCTCGTAGCAGTCAATATGTAAAAGCGACCAAAGATCAGTCTTGTGCAACAAAAGGCGCGAACTCTCAGCTTGGCGTCTCCTCTCGTCGATTTCCTCCTGCGTTCTCTCCACTTGCACAAACGTCTCCATGAATTCGTCAACTGTAGCTGACTTCAGCCACATTATCATACTAACTGGGGCATAGCACACGGCGTTGTGGAAGCCTCTGCCTCGATATGAGACATGCCCTTGCCAAGCCGCCCAGGACCAACTCGGAAATAAAATCTTTCCGTCTGGTGACCGTCTTCGAGACAGGGGTTCTTTGGGATACCATAAGAGAGATCGCGTGAGAGCAAATTCCGGCATGGCATGCCAGAACTTGGTATTTGTGCCACGGCGGATAAGATCTGCAATACCAATAAAGGCATTGACGGCGTCGGACTGCCACGTCATGTTTCTCTTTGTATAAGCGTCGACAGCGTGAGCGTACGCTTCCCAGAGTGTGTGCCCCTTGATGAGCGGTGCATCGATTGTATCTAAGCTCGGAATAGCTTTGGATTTGTATAATGGAGCACCATCCTGTGAAGCTTCACCAGTAGCTGGGTCTTCGCCGATAAAGATCGTCATATCATCCTCTGTCGCGAAAGCTTTGTTAATGTACGCAGCCTGAGTTGGGTCCGACCATATACGCATCCATAAGTTGTGGACTCGAGATGTTAGTTGGAGATCGTCGTTAAAAGGCGTAATCGTGTATGACATGGGATCTGAGACGGGAACGGTGTCTTCGAAACAGGCTCCGTGGGGGCAGACGAAGCACATCTGCGCGTTAGTGAAGTAGACTGACCGTCTTGAGAGGACTCGTTCTTGGAACGTCCATGCTCTTGTGTTCCATAGTTTATCTTCGATATCGAAATATCTTTGTCTAGCATCTTGAAATGCGACGGCAAGAGTGAGTCCCTGGAGCTTTTCGATGCATTGCTCTTTTGACCGAGGGACTCCAACGCCTGGCAGTCCATCGGTGGGGTTGACGTTGGACGAGGCCATGATTGAAAGCGTAGCATTGGCGTAGATAGTCCCCATGTTTGTAATAATCCTAGCCTTGTCATCCTTATCATCTTGCGTGATGCATAAAGCATCGATCCAAATATAGCGGATACCAAGCTGCCTCGTGACCTCGATAGCATCAATAATAGTCTGGGGAAGTTCGAAGTTGCGCAGGCCGCCAGATTTACTCAGCTGGTCTCTTGTGTTGGTAGTGTACTGTGTCTGACTTCCAGTTCCCCAGACATAGGAAAGACAGATATACTCGCATGGTGTGTCGACCTCCTTCACACAGTTGTCAATCGTATCGATGACTCGCAGTGTGCTCATAAGAGGTTTGAGGTATTCAGTAGAGTCAGTTTCTGTTTCTGCTGATTTATGATCCTTGTGGCATCTCTGAACCCACTCTCGAAGGCGTGGTATATCAGCGGAATCCTTCTGAACCGCAAGACCCTGAAGAGGCTTCGACTGACTCTCTATTGGTTCAACTGCATGTATCACCAGTCTTGAAGCCTTTGAACGGTCAAGATCTGAGAATTCAACTTCCAGCCTTAGAGGAAACTCCGGCCCATCGTCCAAAGTGCTGATACTCAACTGCATCCCCGGCCAGCCATCAGGATGAACATCCGCGAGTATCTGATCCTGAATAACTCTCTTTCGGATCAGTCTGCAAAAAGAGCAAGCACTCTTCTCATCCATGACCTTGGGAATACCATACAATGAGATGCGGGACTGTCCTGGTAGTTGATTTCCCGGCAAGCCTCGTTGGGATAGAAGGACCGTGAAATCAATGTGTCGACACATATCGCACAGATATCCAGGATCAGTCTCCTCAAGAACAGGCGGATCGGCGATAAACCACTCCTCATCACGCCCATCCGAGTCTTGAAACAACCCCCATCTTTGTATAAACTGATGATGCTTATACTCATCAAACTTTGCCGTCTCCTCGTCCTTCATCTTCTCATCCGACTGGTCTCCAGCTTCTTCTTCAACGGAAGAAATGTGAATGCTGATCCGACTCAGTTCTTCATCCGTCATACCATCAACGTCTGGCTTCTTTTCCTGTACAGCCTTATCAACAGTCTCCAGACTTTGTCTTCCCCTTTTCTCGCCGAGACTCTCCCAGTCGCGGATCATAGCCGCGGTCTCTGGTGATTGGTTCAAGGTCTTTCCATCTTTTTCTTCTAGGGCTTTTCTGAGGACTGTTCGTGTGGTATGGTCGCGAATGTTTTTGGAAACGACTGATTTTAGATTCGGTGCCATTATGAATGATTTCGTAGCGTTTGTATCTTGGTAACTGAAGTGAGATAGAAAATGAGATTCCAGAGAATCAAGGACTTTAGCTCATCTTATATCTGCCGAGTTCCGTAGGATTTCTAGCTGCGGATTGTGATCCTTGCATGGGCCTCTTATCTTACTGCGCCACGGACACGGACACGGACTTCAAATACACTAAGGGTCAATGACAAAAAAACTAAGGTAAATTTGCGTAAATTTAGGCTACCTTTACTAAGTTTAGGATATCTTTTGCCAAGTTTATCTCGATACCCTACTCTAAGGCCTGGTGTTTTCTTCGCGTCTTCCAAGCAACGAGAGAGTCTGAGAGGCCGTTGTGAGCAACGTCCTCCTTCTTCTGGACACTGGTGCCTTTAACCTTTCGGCGAATATTCGCTGAAATTTCTTTGATAGACATTGCCTTGACTTTTATACACAAATCACTTTTTGATACACCAACACATTCTTTTGCAAAGCCTGAGAAAGGAAATCTACCAACAGTGGTGATTCAGGATGGAGGAGGGGGCAATCTCGCAGTAGCTGAGGGTACATCATCCTCGCCGGTCCATATCATTGTGCCAACCGTCTATTTTGTCATGGGGCGCCTCTAGGTGGGTGGCTCCGAGTTTTCGTGTTCTTCTTCGTTCAACTCCCTCTCTGCTCGGCAATGTCAATATAGTAACTAATTAGTAAACGGCTTTTAGAAAATATACAAGTATCAGACTTATAATACCTTCAATGATTCGCATGTACGGCCATTGACATGGCCTCGGACGGTCTTAAATTTGGACGCAGAGTCCAGGAGACTGCTATAAGTTACCTCCTCCTTCTGCGTCTCCTCCTATTCGGCTTGATAGTACGACGGATGTTGAACAGGATTTCTCGGATCGACATTGCTTGTATATCTGTATAAAACTTAGCTACCAATAACTTATTCAACGCGCTAGACTTACTGGGGGCTATGAGTTTCGTTCGGCGAGTGGCCAGTCTGTCGGGGGCAGAATCCATTTCTTCTTTGGAATATGTTTCTTTTGAGAGAAATATGACTAGGTCGGAGAACTAAAGACGGCAGGGGACGAGAGACGACGATGCTGATCTTGAAGCTGGCTCTGAGAAGAATCTGAACATGAGGTTGTGAAGAAAGCTGGCCAGCGATGTCAAGTGAAAACCATGTTGCGTTTGAGGAGGCAGTGAGTCAGAGACGTTCTATCTCATGAGGGCTGTCACTGTCGTTCAGTTTTACCTTGCTGTGCTTTGAATCACCTAATCTTACGTGCTCCAGAATCATCGTCTTCCACTCCGCGCCGTTTTCTCTTCTTTTACTTATTCAAATCTCTCTCTCTTTATCTCTCTAACAAGTTCCAAATACGAAATGGCTGCTGCTCCTGGTTTGACTCTCACCATCACCGGGTCTGATGGCCAACCGCAGGCCGTGCCCTGCCTCCCACTGCAGCAGAGTGGGCTTGGACCCTTAACTTTCCAATCCTGGAGGATGATATACCCTCAGTTCATGTCATTTCTCCCCCTGCCCCGCCCGAAGTCCCTGCCGCCGGTAGGTCTTCTCTTGCGGTGCAGATGCTTTAGATAGTGTATTATAAACCATTCACGCCCTCTGTAATATGTCCCAGTAGATGTTTCAAGGCCAATTTACCTATCTATACATGAGAAACCTTTGACTATGAAAGAGACGATGGCCAACATGCGCCGTAAAGTTGAAGCCGACATCGAGCGGGACAAGGAACAAAGACGAGAGTTGTTTTTGGACAAGAAGAAGCGAAGAATTCCAACAGGTGATCTTGTTGCTCGTGGAGGACAGATACAAAATCTATCGGTGCCATATAGGCGCCCCAGGAATCCAACCCTTTACCCTCTGACAAACCAACAAATCCTGTGCACCCTCCTCATCTTCACCCTTCGATCCAATCGTAGCATAAATCGTGAATCCACATCTCTCCAGCGTCTCAATCAGCTTTAGCAGTATAATCCTCGTTTGAACAGTGTCCGTGCCTGAAGGATTCCACGGCATGTTTGCGAGATGTACCTTGAGGCGGTCAGATGTGATTTCTTTACGTCTCACATCACGACCAAAGATTTGTAAGATTGCGTCTGTGAGGTCTTTGGGTGGTGAGTCTATGATCTTGAGTTTATCGCTGTTGTCGAATGATACACAGATCCAGTCGCAGGGCGGTGGGATAGGATCTTGTTTTCTAAAGATAAGTGAATCTGATATGTCAGTTAAGTTCATATAAAACAGTCCAAGAACATACCTTTGCTCTCAGAATTGAGAGTAATCTCCATAACGCCCTGCAAAACCCAGCCCATATCAAACAACCTCTCCAGAATTCTCAGCATCAACCTCCTCGAATCATCATTCCCACCAGATCGATGCAACCAAGGTCTTCCTCTCAGTCTAAATTCCATTGACTCCCCGTAGGGCTGCACATGTGAAAGACCAGCTGACCACCGCGCTGCGACGACTTCTTTTATGGCTGATACTTCTGCTTCTGTGAAGTTGATGAGACGGATGCGGTCGAACATGTTGAAGGTCATGCAGGCGAATTGGGTTTGGAAGATTGGTGGTGATGAGGCCATTGTTTCTTGGAATGATGGAGGGAGGTCGGGGACCTTTTCGGGCACTTCTGTGGGAATGTCTGAGGCTTTGGAAGAAGACATTTTGAAATGAGTTTATAAATTGAGGTGATGCTAAATGATGAAAAATCCTTTGTGCTGGGCTGTGTTGAAATGTGTCTTCAAGCTGGGAATAGTGTCATTTGTTAATGTTGGATGAACACCAAAAACCTTCTAGAAGAGAGTGGGTTTCCAGATGCTTTATACAGACTGCACCTTCCTGTTGGTCCTGCTGCCTTACCGTGGCTGTGCGGACCGCGAGGCGCAGCAGGATCACCACCCGCCACCAAATAAAGCTACCAGCATGATTATTCCCCAGGAAACAGTTGACTGCTAATAAACTGTGCTAGCCCTGCTGTACTTTCCAACAATATACACCCCTCTCAGCGAAATGATATATAAAGCTAGGCCAACAATCTCAAAGACTATAACAACCAGGCTGGCAATAAATGTATAGGACTTGACAGTATTAGTAATGGTCAAGTACAAGAATCCGAGGATCATCTTACCATTTCTATACATAGAGTTGCCCAGCTTTGCCGCGACCTGTTCTGGCATGACCAAGACCATAGGTCACTGTTACTCTGAAGCACTTCTTTGTCGATGATCAGGTAAATTGCTGCGATAGCCCAGGCTGCAATCACAGTACCAGAGCTAGCTAGCACGGCAACACTATGTACCCAGCCATCACGCAACGATTGGGGCTATCCTGATGTTAAAATATTGTCAATAGGCTTTAGGTAGTCTTTTTGTAAACTCACAAGGCTGAGATGAGTTGCTATAGCTATTATCTGGACAAAGGATGCAAACACTGCAATTGCCAGCATTAACCAAGTCGAGAACATGTTGACCGCTCTCCAGCCGTCCTCATTTCTATTCCCAGATTTATCCCAAACATTAACTCCGTGAATAAGTAAACTCAGAATACTCAGATCGAGTAAAAGGATCAAGATGCGCAGGCATAGTCTGACGGTATCGAAAGCACCCCGACGCTTATTCCGCGCACGGCGCCTCCTGAGGAGAACATGTTGATCAGAGACCGGATGGTATGACTTGACAGTGAGGTCATCGTCGACTTCGTCATGAGGGTCGAGCCGATTCGAGTATGACTCGTAGGCAGGGGGTACACTGAGGTCCATGATGGTTTAGTATTGGGTCTTGGATGTGACTAGCTTGGTTCTTGCTCTTCAAGTGGAATTATGTGCGCGGGCTGTCATCTTCTTATGCTGTGATAGTCAATGGTAACTTTACGAATTTTCATGTAGTAGTACCCCGATCATGTCAGCCGCAATTCGGCAACACCGTTCTTTAAGCCTTGGTCCCTTAAGAGGGCCAATTATTTATCATCTAGACAATCTAAGTAAGCTGACCATCAGCCGTCACGATAAAGCTTGATCTTTTACCTGCAACAAGCTCACTGCATGTCGGGCAATCTAGACCATTTGGGGTTGCAGAGCTGGGACTTAGCGGGGTAGCTCCAGAACCTGGATAACCTCCACTGTCAGCCTGGATGAGAAGCTGAACATATTGTTACAGCGGGCGTGGCTGTGCACAGCCCTGTTTCGCTCACATCTGACGAGAGTGTGATTAATGCGCTCAGTCGTGCAGTGGAAATGTCTGGTTCAGAATTAATGACAATCTGCGGTGAGTTGCATCTTCGGTCCGTCCTACTACGGCACCGCAAAAGCAATCGCTAGAATTGCTTGTGGAAATCAGTGGCCGGCGCAAATCACTCAAGCAACAGTTTGATCCTCACATCTTGGCAAAACAGACCACAAAGTCAGAGCAGCAATTATCTTTTTTCATTCTCTCTCATCATCAAAGTCTTACAAGTCTAGTATACCACGCGCCCCCTGCTCTCCCCAAACTCCAATGCCTTCTACCGCCACTGACCATGGTCCAAATTCTACAAGCAAGAAAAAAAAAGCCGTGTTCTGTCATGCCGCCGCGCCGTTTTTTGTTTCGCCCAAATGATGATAATGATGTTACTAGTATACAAAAATGCTTCTTTTTCGTGAGTGGTGGCTATTATTATCGCTTGCGTGTGTCCTTGCCCTTCTTCTTCCCTTTCTTTTTGTCCTTGGGCAGTTCGAGTTTCGTGTCTTTGAGTTGCTCTGCCATGGTGCTGAGCATGTGGTCGTCGATGGTGTGCATTTGGTGGCCCCATGCGTTGTACTCTGGTTCTTCTTCCACTTGAGGTGTGTCGAGGTCATCGAGTGCGCCGTCGAGAACGGACTTTCCGGCGGGAGTGCCTTGTCGCGCCGTTGATGTGCCGGAAGCATTGTTGCTGGGCTTTTCCGTAAAATCAGCATCGTCTGCTTGGATTTCCTTCTCTGCGACACGGGCAGCTGCGACGTCCT